CCCCACACACCCAGCTCCCATCTTCAATCCTGCTAATCAGCCCTGAAAACAATCCCAACACTTCGCCCCTCGGGCTGGCCCCCCATCTCCCAGCCAGCCTCCTACCCTGAGCCCCCCAGCCAGCCCTCTGCCTCCACTCCCCTAGCTGGTCACCCCATCCCTCAAGCCCCCTTACTGGCTCCTAAAATCCCTGGCCAGACCCAAACCTCAGACCCCACTGGCCAGCTCCCTGCCCCCTAAGTCCCCCAGCCAGAACTCCCAGCTCTCCAACCCCTGGAGGATCCCTCCCCTAGCCACTGACCCCTACCTCTCTCACACAATTGCTCCCTCCACCTCTGGCCTCCTGCCCCCATCAGCTGTCTCCAGGTCCCCCCTCACTCTGTCTCTCTTCCCTGCAGGTAAGAAGTTCAAATGTAAAAAGTCTGACTCCAGGTAGGTGGTCCTTCCAGCAACTGCAACCAGGGGCAGCTCCCCCTGCTCTAGCTGCCCCCTTTGCCCATGGCCATTTGGGCCCTTCTCCCACTCTAACTGCCCCCATTGTACCCCGGTCTCCAGGGGCAGCCCCCACTCTAACTGCCTGTCATGGAGTATGATGGAATCAGCAGGTCCTGCACCCCCACCTGCAGTCAGATGTGACTCAGCGCCAGCAGGCAGAACAGAAGGTTTATTGGTTCACAGGGACACAGTGTAGCTCAGACGTCATTACAGGAACCAGGATCTGTCAGTACAACCCACCTTGGGGATAGGGGGGCCCCAGTCTACTCCCCAAGCCAGCTAGACTCCCCGCTCCAGGAGCCAGTGGAAAAACTAAAGGCACACACCCAGCAACTGGTCCTAGCCCTCCAGCCCGCCCCCTCTCCTTTGTTCAGATTCCCTGGGCCAGATGTCATGTGATTGTTCCCCCACCCAGGCTCAGGTTACAAGAGAGGCTGATCTATTGTATATGTGCTAAGATGGGGCAGCCTGGGGTGGCCTTCCCTCAGTGACAGCCCCACCCAACATTCCCATCCCCTGCTGGACATCAGGGCAGTGCCCAGGGAAACTGAGTCACACACACAGAGTTACAACAGAACAGCACCTGACAGTAGGGATGACAGAGAAAACACAATCCCCACTACACACTGCCCCCACTGTACCCCAACCTCCAGGGAAAGGCCCCCACCATCTCACAGGGGCAACTCCCCCACGCTGCTTCCAAACTGCGTGGGGCAGTCCTTCACTTCCCTCCATTCTAACTGCCCTAACAGCCCTCCTCAAACCCTTGACTTACCACTCTCCCCTTTGTGTCCCCCCTCAGCCTATCGGAGGCCAGACAGCCAGGAAAGACTCCAAGTAAGTGACCTAGAAGCGGGGGAGGTGGCCCTGTGGGGGTCAGAGGTGTTCCCCTCCCCCCGCTGGCTAGTATCGGGGTGGGAGGAGGGAGTAGTTGTCCCTCTTATGAGGGAGGTCACAGGATGGGTGGGGGCAGCTGAGGTGCTCTCATCCAGCAGCTTGTTTATCTCCACTGGAGATGGATGTTGCCAAGAACATGGGGGGGTACCATGGTAACGCTATGGCAACATGCTCCTACAGCTGCTGAAGTATCTTCCCAGCTGGGGATGGAGGTGGGGAGGGGTCCCCTCAGGCCCTGATCTCTCCCATTCTTCTCTCTCGCCCCCATCTTTCTTGCAGCTCCAGCAGGCAGTGCGTAGGCCTGGTGCCTGGGATGTAGCGCCCCTCTGGATGGGGGTGCAGACCCCGCTGCCCCCCCCCCTCGCCCAGGACGGCTCCGAGACCTTGGCTCCAGTGCCCGGTGACATCCGAGGGGGCAGAGAAGGGGGAGCCCTGTTATCTGAGCCCCCTGTCTTTTAGAAACTCTGCCTCTGATTGGCTAGAGAGCCCATTGCATGCTGGGAGCAGGCACCATATGCAGGAAAAGGGTCCCTCACCTGCCTCCCCCACCGGGTCCCCTTCACTTCCTGTTCCCCTTCAGAGCATGTGATCCTCCATGTCGTAACTGCTTTGCTTATGGCACCCCTGTCCCTGCTGCATCATGGGAGTGCCCTGTGGCTGGGGGGGAGGAGAACAACCACGTGCCACCAAACCACACCCGAGGCCCTGACAGGGCCCGTGCAGGGCCAGCAGCTGGATGAGGACAGGGTGCTGCTATTGTGATGTGCTTTCAGCTGCCCCAGGGGGCGCCACTCTGTAGCTGCCCCCCTCACTGCCCCCACGCACGTGGCAGAGAAGATCCAGTGCTCAATAAAAATGGAGTTGTTTCTTATTGGGCTCCGACTGTTATTCACCCCCCTTCCTACCCACAGTGCTAATGCCCCTCGCTCCTGACTTGCGGGACCCTGCTAGCCCAGCTCTTGCTCCCCCCACCCCAGGTGTGCTGATGGCCCTCATTCCTGACCCTCACCTGGTGTACTTCAGGCCCAACACTGAGGGTACATCTAGACCACAGCGTTTTTCCGGTATCCCACATTTGCTCTTCTGTGTTTTTTTTGTTTGTTTTTTTTTTGGCGGAAGAGCAAACACGCTCTTTCAGGGAGCCCTGTGCACCTCATTCCATGAGGGATAAGGGGTCCGCCAAAAGAGGAGGCTTTTCCACCATTTGGCCCACTCTAGACGGGGCCAAATGGTAGAAAAGCCTCAAAGTCTAGACCTAGCCTAAGGTGAGAGGGAATCCCCAGTAGGCACTTGCAGTACGGGATTTTTGACACCAAATAGGACTGATCCCTTTCCTTTGTGCAGGGTGTTCTTACCATGGGGCAGCTTGTCTTCCACATGATGCCGCTCCCAGTGCTAGGTGCTACATTTTCATCCTCCACATCTCAACTGATATGTCCAGGATGATGGAAAGAAAAAACAGTGTAGCCACCTCTAGGGCAAAGCAGATTGGGAGCAGCTGCACATAACACTGCCCAGTGCTGAAGTGCAGCCACCCATGAATCCCATTTGTGGAGGCTAGCCCCCTTCAACTCCTCTGCCCATTCCAGCCCCACTCCCTTGCCCAGTGGAGCCTAAGGAACCCCGATCCCTCCTTCACAACGGGAGGAGCCCCAGCCCACTGCTCAAGGCCCTGCCAGCTTAAGAAGGGAGAGGCGGAATGAGGGCTAGAAGAGGAGCAGTATGGAAGGGGCTTTGAGGAAGAGTGGGACATGGGAGGCCCTAAAGCCTCGGTGCCCTTTCGGGGAAGTGCTCCAAAGGTAGCAGGCTGGCAGCCTGCCTCCAGAGTGAGGTGCACCACATCCTGTTTGGGGAGGTTTAGCCTCCACTGGCCTATTATACCAACCACTCATGCAGCCACCTCTGTCGAGAGAGAGATTGGGAAGAGATGCACATGACACCACTTGGGGATGGCTTGCCTGGAGCTGAGAAACAGCCACTTGGGGGCTGTGTCTAGACTGGCAAGTTTTTCCGCAAAATCATATGATTTTGCGGAAAGACTTGCCAGCTGTCTACACTAGCTGCTTGAATTTCCGGAAAAGCACTGATGATCTCCTGTAAAATCATCAATGCTTTTCTGGAAATACCATGCTGCTCCCATTCGGGCAAAAGTCTTTTTCCGAAAGACTTTTGCACGAAAGGGCCAGTGTAGACAGCATAGTATTGTTTTCCGCAAAAAAGCCCCGATTGCCATTTTTGCAATCGGGGCTTTTTTGCAGAAAACCACACCTAGATTGGCCACGGATGCTTTTTCGCAAAAAGTGCTTTTGTGGAAAAGCATCCTGCCAATCTAGACGCGCTTTTCCGAAAAGGCTTTTAACGGAAAACTTTTCTGTTAAAAAGCATTTTCGGAAATTCATGCCAGTGTAGATGTAGCCCTGGGGTGGGGCAGTTGGTCACACAACACCACACCGATGGCTCCCCTGTTGTTGAGATGCAGACACCTCTAGGGTGGGGTAGCCGGGGAACATAATACCGCAGTTCCCCCAGGTCAGGATGACTTGTTCAGTCCAACTCCTCAGGAATGAGACAAGTGTGGGCCAGGCCTAAGCAGCACAGTTATCTGGGGAGAGTGATGGGGGTAGCTGGTAACGGCCTGTGACTGATGGGTGAATCTTCTGTGGGACCAAGTTGAGGACTTGCTGGGGATAACAGAGGGGAGTCTGGAACATGGGTCTACATAGGGTGTGTGGAATGGGGCACAGGCCTTTCCTCTCTGGGGAGCACCTGCTGCCAGAGAGCTCTGTGTTGCTCAGCCATTCAGTGCCTCGGACACATGGCAGGCTGGGGCCCTGGATGCCACTTAAATGGGGAGGAAAGTGTGAACTGGGGGGCAGAGCCCTGAAAAAGGAAGACAGATGCACTCTCCCAGTATGCCCCAGCCTTCCCAGTGTACCCAGTCAACAGAGAAGATCTCTCAACATGCACCAGAGCAGAGTGGGACTCTGCAAATCCCTCAGATTCAGAACAGTGCTCCCAGCACGCACCAGGCTTGGAAGAATGCTCCCAGCATGAACCAGGCCCAGTGCAAGAATCCCAGCATGCACCAGGCTTGGAGCAGAGCTCTCAGCATGAACTGGCCTTACCACTCGCTCTGCCTCCTGCCCTGCCCCTGAATTTCCCTTAGTACCCAGGGCAGTGAGGGCACCTCCCTGCTGGGCAGTCTTCTGCTGTGTGGAGCTGCATAAATTTCTGCCCTCGCAGCTGCCCTGGGTCCCCAAGGAATAAGGAAATGCCAGAGGGTCAGGAGAGAGGCAAACGGAACACACAGAGGTGCAGCTCTCTCTGGGGACTAGCTGCACATAACGCTGCACGAGGAAGGCTCGCCTGGCACTGAGATGCAATCACTTCAGGGGTGGGGCAGTTCTCTTCCTCATCTTTTCCACTTCCCTTTCAGCTTGCAGACAACCACTCGTCTCAGAGTGCACAGGCACACAGGGCCTGGCTCACACACATGCACCTCGCAGGAAGTGCAGGCAGGAGGAAATGACTCGTGAGGCCTTCTTCTACCGCCCCAGTGCGGCCCTCCCCCTCCTGCTCACACGCCATCCCAGAGCCGGCTGCAATGAGGGTAAGACTCTGGGCCCCCTATTCCAGATGCATGGGTTCCCCGGCTCTGATAAGAACCAGCTGTGCCCCACTCTGGTGCCTTGGCCCTGACTTCCTGTCATGAGCGACCCCGTCCCGGTGGGTCATGCTACTGCTGGGGGGCATTGAGTGGGGAGCCAGGCTGGTGATGGGAACCAGGTGTTATGGCACAGGGTAGGAAACGAGGGGCCAGCAAGGGGTTGGGGGAAGACCCTCGGGCAGGAATGAGACTAGCCCATCAGCCTGGTAATGCTTGTAGACCTATGTTCCCCTTCATGCCATCTGGACCTTCCCTATCTCTCTCTCTCTCCACATAGACCCCTATATCTATCTATTGTGGCAGGGTCAGTCCCAATCCTGGGACCCAGACCCCTGTTCTGTCCACTATCCCACAGGTTAGGGGCCACGGTACAAATCCCACTTGCCTTTTCTCAGCATTTGGTCTTCTGTCCCTCGGCAAAACAAACGGGTGTTGGGGCTGAGGAAACAGCCTCCTCAGCCACCAGCTGAGTTTCTGGCCCCCTGGAGTAAAGGGAGCCTCCAAACACTCCCGGCGGAGCGCCTCACCTCCCCCTGCAGCTTTTAGCAGTGCTGCTGTTCTGCTCCGCTCCTCTGAGTCTCCTTATTGGTTGTTTGTTCCTCTCCAAACTCCTTCTCCACTCTCCTCTACCCTCCCCTCCCCCACAGGGAAGGTTTTTAAAGAGGTCCTGTGGCAGCCTGAAATCAGCTCACCTGGCTCTTAATTGACTTACAGCAGCCCTGTCTCAGATGCCCCTGATCAGCCAGGGCCCTTGCTGTTTTTTGTTTTTTTTAAGAGCTGCATCTCTCCCCTTTCATCCAGCCTATTTACCTGCCCTGTCACATATCCTCCTCCCCTGCTCAGCACTAGGGGGTTGGGCTACTTGGGACAGCAGGCAGTGCACCCTCAGCAGGCCATGGGCATTGCTGTGCTTGGCTCTGGCCTTGCGTTGCACTTGGAAGGGGAATGGTTTTAGGGACAGGAACCCCCGCGTTACTCTCGCGTTCCTGTTTTTATTCCGGTGCATTCACTGCAGGGGCGCGTGGTCTGTGAATTTTCGTCCAAGCAGCTAATATTGCAGGCTGTCCATGGCTCACTTCACCTCCAGGCACTCCTTCTCCACAATGGCATAGTTCTTCTCTCTTGGGAGGAGCTTCCGGCTTAGGTACAGGGTGGGATGCTCTTCCTCTCTGACCATTTGGGACAGTACAGCACCCAATCCGACATGAAGAGGCATCGGTCTGGAGTAAGAACTCCCTTTCGAAGTCAGGGGCTATGGGTCACTGCACAGGGCTGATTTTAAGTCGCTGAATGCCTCCTCTGCTGCAGGGGTCCATTTCACTACATCCGGGTCCTGGGCTCTCATCTGTCAGGGGACACGCCCTGGAAGCAAAGTGGGGGATAAACCTGCAATAATACCCCACTTGTCCCAAGAATGCCCGGACCTGCTTCTTTCCGACTGGCCAGGGCCAGTGCTGTATGACAGCCACCTTATTCAGCTGGGGCCTCACTAAGCCCCTTCCCACTATATACCCCAGGTATTTGGCCTCTGCTAGTCCCATCGCACACTTTGCCAGGTTTGTGGTTAGGCCAGATTTCCTTAAGGTGTCCAATACAGCCTCCACCTTCTCCGGATGTGTGTCCCAGTTGATAACATCATCAACATAGGCAGCTGCATATGGATGGTGTGGGCGCAATAGCTTATCCATAAGCCACTGGAAGGTCGCATGGGCCCTATGTCGCCCGAACGGTAGGACAGTGTACTGATATAAGTCCAAGGGTGTGGCAAAGGCTGGCTTCTCTCTGGCTTTCTTGGACAACAGGATTTGCCAGTAACCCTTGGTCAGGTTGAGGGTAGACAAAAAAAAAGAAAGAGCCTTTCCCAGATGATCAATCAGCTCATCTATTCACAGCATGGGGTATGCATCAAATTTTGATAACTCATTTAATTTCCTGAAATCATTACAAAACCGAAGGTTGCCATCGGGCTTAGGTGCTAGGATGACGGGGTTGGATCACTGGTTCCAGCATTTTTCTTTCTTCTTTCCGTACCTCCTCTCGCTTTGCTTCTGGGATTCAGTAGGGCCTCACGTTCACCCTTACTCCTGGGTCTGTGATTATCATAGAATCATAGAATACTAGGACTGGAAGGGACCTTGAGAGGTCATCGAGTCCAGCCCTCTGCCCCCATGGCAGGACCAAATACTGTCTAGACCATCCTGATA